TAAAACCAATATCAAATTCCGAAAATCGTTTTTTTGCTTAAACTCTTTTTTTTAATGGGATCAAAATGGGGGTAAAGCACAGAGTCCGGGATGGTAATGGGCGTATTGTGTCCTAATTTTATGGTTTTCGTACAATCGGTGCCGGTGTCGCGGAGAAATTCCACTTTTTTCCCCTTATGGAAGCCGTAAATTGACTACCAACGTGAAAAGTTCCTCGCCGGAATTTAGTACTCATGGTGATCTGGGTGCCAAGAACAAACGACTTGAACGAATGCAGGTATCATCATGCAGGTACTCAGGGTACCTTTGGTTCTAGCGTAGCGCATGCGCGAAGTCAAAACCAGTTAAACTCAAAGCAACCTTGTCGGCACGGAAAACATCAAAGGCTTAATTCCAATTTTTGAAATATTCAAATACCAAACATTCGACCATGAGCCAGGCTATCCTGAAATGTGTTAATTTTGGTAATAGGAGACAGATTCTTTAAGCCACGACCAATTGTGGATGTTTTTGAGCCCATTAATGTGGATTTTTCACTATTTTTCATTTTCAATTCAAAATGGCGCCCATCATTTGTCAGAAATCAAAATTCTAATTCCTACAATTTATGGGATTTTCTTCAAGGATTCAGAAACTATAATTCCCTTGTCTGTAAGTAAAATATCAAAAAAGCCTTAGCGACTTTTCACATTTCAAGATGGTGGCACTTCCGGAATGGGCTACAAACTCAATTTTCTGTGAACTAATCAGAAGTGTCGTAGCTAGTAAAGAAAAGAAAAATCAAGGCAATCTGACCTATATTTAGTCGATTTTTTTGAAAAATTTAATCCTTAATTTCTCCAAGGGGAGATAAGTTAGGGCATTTTTAATGGTATCGTTGAAGTTGGGTCAATGAGATCTACATACATTCCAAATTTCATGAAAATCGTACCAATATTAAAGAAGTTGTCAATTCTGTTTTACTTCCGGGACGAAATTCGAAAATCGGAAATAGCAGATTTCAAGTAAATATTTCAAGGTACTCAAAGAAAAAAGAATTAGTAAAATAGGTCACATAGTCACTGAGTTATTGGTATGTAGGTCAATATATTCGTTCGTAAAATTCGGTGATTTCTGATTCGTAAAACGTTTTGAAAATATATTTCATCAAAAGCTGCCACCCATTTTTGGTTGGGGGGGGGGGGTAGGTCAAAGTTTCAGAAAGATCTCATGGTTAGATTCTGAGAAATCCGATTTGCAGAAAGTACACAAAAAAAAACTTGATCTGCATAGCAGATATGAAAGCTTTCATATTAACTGCAAAGGGGGTTATTAGAATCTATTGAAACAATAAGTATAAATGTCATCAGGTATCTGAAAAATTACATTTACCTTATGAGCAAAATGGGAAAAATACAAAACAAAAACTGTCGACTTGTGGCTACCATCCAAGGCATATTTAGAAAACCGTATATTATATACAGACTACGCAGGACAGGAATTTATGGTGGCTGTTAGCGGCCATTCAAATGTAATCTAAATCGTCGCCTTGTAAAGAAGGCGACAAGTCGACAAGTCAACGAAATCAACCCGCCGACACAACAAAATAACCCGACGATCGTCGCCTTCATTTCGTCGACTTGTCGGGTCAATTCTGTCGACTTGTCGACTTGTCGCCTTCGACTTATTCACAACCCAACAAGGCGACAAGTCGGCAAGTCGACGAGTCAAACTCGAGCTTGCGCATTTGCTGATTGGATAACTTGCATGCGCACAGATTAACTTCCGAGGCGACAAGTCGCCGCACGACAAGTCGAAATAATTGCATTTCGTCGACTTGTCGACTTGTCGCCTTCGACTTATTTACAACCCGACAAGGCGACAAGTAGACAAGTCGACGAATTGCAATTATTTCCAATTAACTCGGAAATGGCAGTAAATATCAGATATCGCTGAATCTCAATCGGCTTCTTCGTGTCATGACCTTAAACACTACGCATAAATTTAAAGTCAATTGGATATTAACTTTGGCCTCTAGAGCGTCCACAAGATATTTTGAAGTGATCACGGGCCACAACTCTGGCAGTAAATATCAGATATCGCTGAAAATCAATTGCCTACTTCGTCTCATTACCTTAACCACTGTGTATAAATTTAAAGTCAATCGGACATTAACTTTGACCTCTAGAGCATCCACAAGATTTTTTTTAAGTGATGAAGGGCCATAACTCTTACAGTAATTATCGGAAATCGCTGAAAATCAATTGGCTTCTTCATCACATGATCTTAAACACTGTGTATAAATTTAAAGTCAATCGGATATTGAATTTAGCCTCTAGAACGTGCACAAGATTTTTTGAAGTGATCAAGGACCATAATTCTGACAGTAATTATCGGAAATCGCTGAAAATCAATAGACTTCCTCGTCTCATGACCTTAAACACTGTGTATAAATTTAAAGTAATCGGATATTAACTTTAGCCGGCCGGACGGCCGGACGGCGGCGACGACAATACACGACCACATTTCAATGTGGGCGTATAAAAATTAACCGCATGCATATAATATTTAATGTATGATAAAGTCAAAAAGTCGATTTCGGTTTTTGGTGTTGCGTTCATTTTTAAAAAATGTCTTTTACGGAAAATGTGTATAGTACTAATAGCAATCACATATGGAAGAGGCGATAAGATCCCTTTGTATTGGGAATTTCAAAATTAATTAAAACCAAATTTAAATTCCGAAAATCGGTTGGTTTTTTTTTTGCTGAAACTCCTTTTTTTTTAATCGGATCAAAATGGGAGTAAGTCACAGAGTCCGGGGTGGTAATGGGCGTAATGTGTCCAAATTTCATGGTTTTCGGACAATCAGTGCCGGTTTCGTGGCGAAATTCCACTTTTTTCGCCCTTACAGAAGCCGTAAATGGCGGAAAAAAACGAACGGCAGGAACCGTGTCAAGAACAAACGACCTGAACGAATGCAGGTATCGCCTTGAAGTTTTCAGTGCACCTAGGTACCAACGTGAAAAGTTCCTCGCCGGAATTTGGTAGTCATCGTACCTTTAGTTCCAGCGTGGCGCATGCGCGAAGTCAAAAGAAATTACGGTCGATTTTGGGATTTTGGGTATATTTCGGAGTGGTTTGGTATGTGTCGGTGGATCGGGGACCGGGATTGATCTATTATAATAAATGAAATGAAATGGAGTTTAACGTCCTACTGTTCTGCTCCTAACCTGGGCTAATGAAGACGGGCATACGCCATACAGTGTGCTATGAGGGAAATTTTGCCCGGACAGCGGCACTACGGCCTACTCTTATATCGAATTCCAACTGCAAAGGGATCTTTTACGTGCACGCCAATGTGTACACGGGACCTCGGTTTTTCGTCCCATCCGAACGACTAGACAGCTTTCCTTGTCAGCCCCTCCGTCCTGCATCCGTCCTGCATCACTGACAAGGGAGAACCACGCCGGAAAATCTGGATGAACTTTCTCGGCCAATGCAGGGATCGAACACCTGACCCCCAGGCTAGCGAGCTAGCGTCTTACCCACTTAGCCACGTGATCCCCTCTATTATAATAAGCGTTGAAGAATGAGCAAATTTTCGCGACCGGGGTTGATTTGCACTGCCCAGGCAACGTTCCGGTGGTCCGATTGGGATTCTAGCTATCACATATTAAAAATAGAAGAGTGTGGGATTCCGAGAACGTTGAAAATAAATTCGAAACCCACCCCCACCCATCAAAGTTTTTTTTGCTTAAAAAATTGCGGTATATTATCGAATTTTTATTGTCCTTGATATCTGAGCATTTTCTCTTTTTAATATGTGATAAACATCTTCAGCAAATTGCCTTTACATTATCTAGTTTTTAACTATTATCTAATCTCGCATAATGTATCTTTAATTTAACTTTTTCAGGAGTTTGAACAGTCTTGTTTAGAGCCACAAGTTCTGGATCTTGCTAATGTATATAGAAACGGTGTACTAGCAATTGATATGGACGAAGACATTAATCGAAGGAGAAGACTTGCAGCCTACAGACAATTTGTTATGTGGTGGTACAGGGAATAGAGTAGTACTACCCCCCTGTTGTGTTCAGAAAATAGGATTATCATTTCAAGACAGAAATGGCATGGGTTTTAATCGAAGACGATTATTATGAAAATACTTACATTAAAATCTGGTTTTCTGTTTCTTGGCTCTCTCTGAAGTTGGTTCTGGCTGGGGTTTTGCAACTGTCTCTGCAATCTTTCGAGGACCATCCTGGTCTAGTGGTCATTTTCGCCCCGTTTTGCCTTATCATCGAGTCTGGTCCTATAAAGATAGTAAATTCAAGACATCAAAATTGTTCCAGGATGGTTTGGCAATTAATACAAATTCTTGTTTCGTGCCAGACATTTTTAATTTTTACAACACTTTATTTGATTCTAAAGATGTAATTTAACTCATCTATCCAATCAAACTTACTATGGTACTTACTTTTCTTGAGTTATACCGTCTTGAAAGGGGCTTATTCCTACAGAGATTGTAGACATTTCAGGAGGCCTGTTCTTTCCCTTGTCTGTATCAGTACTACAAAAACAAAATTAGTTGTGATAATTGGTACTATCATGTATAAAAGTGACGATATCATTACCAGTATGTTAATGATGAAAATGCCTGGTAGCTTACCAACAACTAAGATTTTCACAGCGTTGGAAAAATATTGTGACAAAAAAATAAGGTGTAGTAATAATGGATATAATGCAAAGTGAATGAAACAATAATGTCACTGAGACAATAATGTCATTGAATAATGATAAAATTGTTATTACTATATAAATAAAATATTAAAAATTCATATAAAAGTTGTGTTCGTGTTTTTTCATATAATCCTCGTTTTTAAATTTATGGGATGAAACGACCCTATATAAGTGGAATGAAACGACCCATGTAATTTTGGGGTGAAACAGCCCAGGGTGATCTACATGTAAACATAATTGTCAAAAAACAATTAATTAGTTGCTGTACAAATATTACCTGCCATGAATGGATGATAGTTCTGAAACATGCAGTGCTCCAGCATTTGAAGGCACACAAATTCCCCTAATAGCTGAAAAAATAAATACATTCACCAGTCATTCATCAAAAAATTGTCTGTTAATATTAGTTATTATACAAGATAGTAAAAGAAAACCTTACTATAATTAAATTTAAATTCAGGTTACTAATAAACCATAGCTCATATGAGATATTCAACCATCTAGATTAAAGTACAGTTGCTAAGTCTCTAACCCAATATCATCCAAGGTATGACACAAATTATTTGTCAATTTAAATCGACATTGATGTTGTGATTTTACTGGGAAAAGATGGGCTTCTGACATCCAATATTTAAGACAAAATGAACATTTTACATGTTTACCATTTGTAACAAAGGACTCAAATAAGAGAGCTAGACATAGTCCACAAGTCAGGGCGGTGACCGCATATTCTTAGGTGGAGAGCCTGGGTAATAAATAGATTGCCGTCCCATTGATACTTCTGGGACAATTCGTCGAACATAACTGATTAGAATTTACAGTAAAAACAGAAATGAGTGAATGTAAATTGTAAATCAGTTTATATGTACACATATATTACATTATTATAAACGTTGCGACCCATTTGTGTCAATTTCTAGGTCCCAAATATTAGCGATTTAAACAATGGTAAAGATATAGAAACAATATTTCACATCTTTTATAAAATGAAATGGAGTTTAACGTCCTACTGTTCTGCTCCGAACTGAGCTAATGAAGACGGGCATACGCCATACAGTGTGCTATGAGTGAAAATTTTGCCTGGACAGCGGCACTACGACCTACTCTTATATCGAATTGCAACTGTAAAGGGATCTTTTACGTGCAGGCCAATGTATACACGGGACCTCTGTCCTGCATCAATGCCAAGGGGGAACCACGTCGGAAATTCTGGATGAACTTTCTCGGTAAATGCAAGGATCGCACACCCGACCACCAGGCTAGCGAGCCAGCGTCTTACCCAAATAGCCACCGTGATCCCCACGTTTTATAAAGACATAATATTTATAAACAGTAATATTTTTCAAAACGAGACGTTTCCCATTCCAATCCAATGGTAATAATAAGCTAAAGTTAGATTCTCATGATAATATTTTTTTTGCAAATTAGGCCTACCTGTCCAATAACAGCTTTGCCATTTCTTGATAAGTCTCTATTTTCATTTTCTCCTTCAATTCGTACCACGGTTAATTAGACTTGTCAATCGAAGGAAAAAACTCACACTGTTCGAACTCGAGGACATACATGTAGTCAATGACAATAGATAGATCTAAAATAGAGATCTAGCTAATTAGACCTAAGACGGACTGTCTAGAATGTTATTAATAAGTTTGAAATAATTGTGTGGTAATCCAAGTCATATTAATCCCCATTTCCTTTCACATTCCCGTTGACATTACTTATTTATTTATTTGCGACAACACTTGAGGATATCCCCCTTATGACATCATGGAAAGCTATAATAATTTTAGTAAAAGAAATAATAATTTTAGTAAAAACAATAGTCTTTCAGACAAAGGCTAATAATAATAATAAGTCTGAAAGGCTAATAATAATAATAATAATAAAAATAATTTTAGTAAAAACAATAGTCTTTCAGACAAAGTCTGAAAGCCTAAATAACCCTGCAAGCAGCACTGAACCGGCTTTCAGGAATCAGACAGGAAGTGTGTCACACAATAGCCCATTCATCGAGCTACCAAACGATACTTTAGTTGTTTTGATTCAGTGAAACCCGGCTAAGAAATCGCGATTTTTGCAAGAGTACCAATTTTTTACTGCATTTTCTCAAAATATCGAATATTTTTTCGACTACTTCCGGTTTACGGATCATTGTCTGGATAGATTTAACAAGTTGTATGGGAACTTAACTTTCTGTACCAGAAGTTTCAGAAACATCATTGAGCTGTTTTCAAAACAAAGAAAAATAGAAGAGCATTTTCGGTAATTTAGGGATTTTTCAACTTTTTTTCAAAGATTGAAATGCTTTTTGTTATGGATTCGTAGGTGTCGTTTTCGAGAAAAGGGCGTCTCAAAACGCTCCAAAACGGAAAATTATAGATTTACGGCGTACCATAATTTATTTTCTAACCCTCGAAATCGTAGAATTCGGATGTCATATAATAGTCCATTAATGACGCTGTCTAAGACACTTCAGTTCTTTCGGTCCGATAACATCTGACGGAGATATCAATTTTTTCGTAAGAGCGCCAATTTTTTTTAACGTTGTTTTTAATTTTTTGAATACTTCCGGTATGGAGATTATTGTCGGGATAGTTTTGATAACCGGTTTTGGTAATTAAATAGTCGCAGGGCTCTGTAATAATATTTTACATTATCTGATCAGATAAAATGCCCTTGAGAAATCCTATGTTCAAAAGTGCCAAAAATGCAAAAATTAATTTTCAATATTTCAATACATCGTTAGAATTGTTTTAAGGTCAGCGCTATCTGAACGTGTTGCCTTTTTGTAAAAATCTGTTTAAATAATAAAGTAATAGAACATTTTCCAAAATTTCACGATTTTTCGACTTTTTTCGATTTTCAGTCCCTTTTTTATGGATGGCTTCATGCACAAGACTATCGAATGGACTCTCGGTAGAGAAAGTTAAAGAAAAATTGTAGGTTAAGTGTTTGAGATAAAGGCGTCCAAAAACGCTCCAAATCAGAAAATACTTCATTTTTAGCGTGCCATATTTTGCTGCCTGGTCATAGTATCCCTATGCATTGGGTATCACACGATAGCCCATTCATCGGGCCACTCAACCCTGTCTTAATTGGTTTAATCCGGTGATATCGGACGGAGAAATCGCGTTTATTTTCAAAAGTATCCTTTTGTTTGTGTTGTTTTCAACATATCGGACATTATTTCGGCTACTTGCGGTCTACGGATCATTGTTGAAATTGCTTTATTCCTTGCTATGGTCATATGACTTCATGCTCCAGAAGTGTCAAAAACATCGGTTTAGCCGTAAAAAAAAAAAAGTTGGATACAAAATGGTCATAAAATTCGAAAAAAAATCGAAAAAAGGGCGATAACTCTGAATAGAACTTATATTACTGGAATCGGATCGACATCAGGTATACACAAATGTAGGTGAAATTTGAATATTTTGAAAATTAACAAAAATTGTCTCTGTAGTAATGTATATTTGGTTGTCAGTTGTTATATATTTAGTATTAAGAAGTAGCCTCTTTCATCCTGTGTATGGTCTTAGTTTATTTAGTGAGTTAACTCAGTTCTTTAATAGTCTTGTTCAACTAGACACTTCATATAGCTTGTAGTCTTGCTTTTCTATGTCATCTGTAGTTTCCACCTTATTTGGAGTGAGTAGTAATCGGTAACTTAGATACTGTACTAACATCCTGTTTCACCTTTGGTCACTTTTTCTTGCATCTCCATCTTGGATACATCATTGCATTCCACAACACCGAATTCACTAACTTAGTGTTTCGCTCTTTTGTACATGTATATATGGTTTTCATCATACATTAGCTTTATAATTCTTCATTTCTTAAGAGCACCTTTATCAGGGTATGTTTCTAGTTTAAGTTAGTTTCTCAATTTGTTATATGTTATTTATGTATAATATTTATAAATGCTCCATTACTATTACCTGTAATAGGCAATATATCTCTATATTACTAGCTATTAGTTATTAGAAGCTATATCTAAGCTATATCCTTTTGTATATATATGTGTTTGCTAATTTAGTTTTATTATTATTTCAGTGCTCTTATCTTCTACTTGTTCTTCTTTCTGTAAATAATTGGCTGTTTTGTTCTTGTGTATTGTAAATAAACTTTTGGTTCAACCCACGACCTGGAAAGGTGGATAGTCCGTCGTCCATCGATCCTGCTACATCTCGTAACGACATCTTTGCCATTTTCGAACGATATAAGTCAACGACAAAGTTTCGAAATTTCGAAATATTCAACTGCTATTGTTCCGGAAAAGAATCAGTGTTTCCGGTAATGTAATTTGTTTGAAAATAGGAAAATAATTGACAAAACTACGGCCAGTTTCTGATTTTTGGGCACCGTACCAAATTCGACCACTTCCGGACTGCGCAGAAGTTACAAAGTTAGTCGATCAAGTAGCCACCACATGGTTTCCGAATAGAAAATTAGGTCCCAGATCGCTATCTGTTACAGGCGAAAAAAAAATAATAATAACAATTTTTACTAATCTCAATAGGCTTTCAGACGAAAGTCTAAAAGCCTAATAATATTAATCTTAACAGAAACAATAAGCTTTCATATGTAATACATATGAAAGGTTAACTAGATCTGTATAGCAGATATCAAAGCTTTCATATTAACTGCAAAAGGGATTATTATAATCTATTGAAACAATAAGTATAAATGTCATCAGGTATCTGAAAAATTACATTTACCTTATGAACAAGATGGTGAAAAATACAAAACAAAAATTGTCGTATTGTGGCTACCATCCAAGGCATATTTAGAAAACCGTATATTATATACAGACTACGCAGGACAGGAATTTATGGTGGCTGTTAGAAAACAGTATAACTCAGATATTGACATGTTCTTTGCATGCGCATTACAATAGAAGGGAATTGAAAAATAAAGTTGAACAATTCACAACGTAATAATCTTAGATCGGTAGAATCGGGCAGACGCCGGCAATCCAAATATGTAATTGAAAACTCAAAATTCCAAGAAATAAAAATTTCCGTAAATTTTTAAGAAAAACTGAAAACGGCATGGTATCTCAATTCGACCGTAATCACATCCGTAATATACCCGCTGTACAAAAATATAACTTTTTCGAAAATCGGTCGAGAATTGACATAATTAGGGCCGATTTTCATTTCAATTTTCTTGCACGTTAAAGGTTTACATCTTTCGCGATAGTTATAAGTAACAAACTGTTTAACACATGGGACAAATCAATATTCAGAACTCTATCTGTTATAGTTTCAGAGATCTACGCGAATTGTAAAAGGTATAAAAATGCAGTTTTCCCAATGGGACAAAACAGGTATCTGTAGTCTCAGCTAACAATCAAAACCCTACATCACACTCACCAGCATTAATTTTTTATTATTGAAAAAGAGGGACGACTTCCTTATAAACAGCTGCAGCGTAGCGCTTTATTTTCACTGGTGTCAATTGATGACGTCATGTAGACAAAAAAAAATGGGATATTAATTTTAGGGGTAACTGTTATTTACTCAAATGAATTATTTTCACTCTAGAAGCATCAATCCCATCGGACAAAAAATGTGGTCCTGTGTATATACTGGCGTGCACATAAAAGATCCCTTGACAGTTAGATTTCGGTACATTAGCCCAGTAGGAGCAGAACAGTAGGACATTAAACCCCATTTCCTTTTATTTTCGATACCCTTATGGCAATTTTAAAAGACACATTTTGATGGATTCCAGACAAATGGCCGTTACAAATAATGTAACATGATTGTCATGGGGGGGGGGGGGGCTAGGGCATTTATATTTGCAGAAATTCACTTTTTTTAAAAAAATACGCCTTCACTACAAACTAGAAGCCCCTTCTCATTAACCCAACTGGGCCAGAAAAGTAGAATCTTAAACCCTATTTTACCCGTCCTTACAATAGCAACGCCCCTTGGGGTTAGCCCTGTTCACATTATCATCCTCGTCTATTTATTTGTCAATTCAAATATGCCTTCACAGCAAAATAAACGACCGTCTTCATTAGCCCAATTGGGGAAGAAAAGTAAGACGCCAAACCCCATTTATTTAATCTTACAAGATAAACGCCTTTCGGCATTAACTCTGTTTACGACATTGTCGTCAAATTTATTTGTCGATCTCTATAAACTTGCAATATCTCTATTCTTCTACCTGGGCTGTTTGAACACTGGGGGTGTAACGATTAAAAATTATATAGTAGAATAGTTATTTAAAGCTGCTCTTTGGTAATATATAATTGAAATTAAAGATGGCAAAATAAAACTACATTTTTATGCTAACATTTTCACCACGATAGCGGCTCTTCAGGCATCATAAACATTGTTTAATAAATGCCCGAAGAGCCGCTTTCGCGGTGAAAACGTTAGCATAAATAAATGCCTCTGAAGAGCCGCTATCGCGGTGAAAACGTTAGCATAAAAATTTAGTTTTATTTTAATTATATATATATATATCAAGGGGAGATAATTTAGAAAATTTCTAATGACGCCTGTCAGGTCGCATCGGTAAGCTCTACGTACATACTAAATTTCATGAACATTGTGCAACTATTAAAGAAGTTGTCAAGTT